TCAAACCATAGCAGTATCATTAGAATTAAGCTAGTATAAATCCAAAACTGATTCTGATAAATTAAAATGTGCATAATAAGCCTCAGAGCAATCTCAAAAATCTACATTAGAAAATATTCACTTAATAACTAAATGCAAAAGGAATCAGTAAAGTAGGAATAAAAGAACAAATAGGCATGAGACACACAAACATCAAAAAACAAAATAGAATGATAAATGTAATTCCCATTACATCAATAAGAAAAATAAATGTGAGTAATTAAACAATCCAAAGACAAAGATTATCATACTGGACTAAAAAACATGATCCAACTATATCCTCTCTAGAGATGAGACACTTTAAACTCAAAGTTACATAAATGAGAAGCAAACTAAGTGCCCTTCAACCTATGAATGGATCAACAAATTGGTTTATGTATGCCATGTAATATTATTCAGCCATTAAAAAGATGAAGACTTTACATCTTTATATTTACCTGGATGGAGCTGAAATGTATTCTTCTTAGTAAAGTATCACAAGAATAAAAAAATAAATATTCAATGTACTCCGTACTAATATGAAACCAATATATAAGCAATTACATGCTCATATAAGCAATATAATCTAGTCCAGGGGTAGAAGGAGGCAGGAGTGGGGTGGGGAGAGGACGTTTGGCAGAAGGAGGGAAGGCATGAGGTGGGATCTCACCTAATATGCACAATGTAAGGGTGTATAACACGCCCCCGGTAAGGGGCTCTTTTACAACTAGAACTTTACCCTGGAAGTGAGAACAATGTAACCTAAAAATTTGTGCCCTCAATTGGGCACCTGTAGCTCAGCAGCCCGGGCCTGCCAAACAACGAGGTCAATTACAACCAAAAAATAGCCGGGCATTGTGGCAGGTCCCTGTAGTCCTAGCTACTTGGGAGGCCGAGGCAAGAGAATCCCTGAAGCCCAAGAGTTTGGGGTTGCTGTGAGCTGTGATGCCATAGCACTCTACTGAGGGTAACATAATAAGACTCTTGTCTCCAAAAAAAAAAAAAAATTGTACCCTCAAATTAATTTGAAATAAAAGAACAAAAATAGGGTAGGGCACAATAGCTCATGCTTGTAATCCTAGCACTCGGGGAGGCTGAGGCAGGTGGATTACCTGAGCTCACAAGTTTGAGACCAGCCTGAGCGAAAGTGAGACCCTGTCTCTAAAAATAGCCAGGTGTTGTGGTGTGTGCCTGTAGTCCCAGCTACTTGGGAGGCTGAGGCAAGAGAATGGCTTAAGCCCAAGAGTTTGAGGCTGCTGTGAGCTGTGATGCCACAGCACTCTACTGAGGGTGACAAAGTGAGACTCTGTCTCAGAAAACAAAACAAAAACAAAACAACACCATAGTTACAATAAATGAAAATAAAAGAATGAAAAAGGAATTATGCAAACAACAACCACAAGAAAGGTAGAGCGGCTACATTAACATCAGACAATATACACTTTATTTTTATTTATTTATTTATTTTGAGACAGAGTCTCGCCCTGTCACTCTGGGTAAAGTGCTATAGCATCATATCTCAGAGCAACCTCAAACTCTTGGGCTCAAGCTATCCTCTTGCCTCAGCCTCCCAAGTAACTGGGACTACAGGTCCCTGCCACAACACCCAGATAGTTTTTCTATTTTTAATAGAGACGGAGTCTTGCTCTTGCTCAGGGTGGTCTCAAACTCAGAGCTTAAGCAATCCACATACCTCAAAGTGCTAGGATTACAGGTGTGAGCCACTGTGCCTGGCCAATATACCCTTTAGAACAAAATATATTACTATAGATAAAGAGGGATATTTCTTTTTTTTTTTTTTTTTTTTGAGACAGAGTTTCACTAAGTCATCCTGGGAAGAGTGCCATGGTGTCACACCTCACAGCAACCTCAACTCTTGGGCTTAAATGACTCTCCTGCCTCAGCCTCCCAAGTAGCTGGGACTACAGGCACCCACCACAATGCCCTGCTATTTTTTGATTGTAGTTGTCATTGTTGTTTGGCAGGCCTGGGCTGGATTCGAACCAGCCAGCGTCTGATGTATGTGCCTGGCACCCTAGCCTCTGAGCTACAGGAGTCAAGCCAAGGGAGATCTTTCATAATGATGAAACAGTTAATCCATCAGGAAGATATAACAATTATAAACATATATGCACCTAATAACAAAGCACCAAAACACATGAAGCAACAACTGACAGAAATGAAGTGAAAAATAGACAATTCAATAATAATAGTAGAAGACTTCAATACCCCACTTTTAATAATGGTAGGACAACTAGACAGAGGAACAATAAGGAAACAGAACTCTTGAACACTGTAAACCAACTAGACCTAACAGATGTCTATGGAACACTCCACACAACAGCAAAATATACATTCTTCTCAAGTACCCATGAAATGCTTTCCAGGATAGATCATATTCCAGACTACAAAACAAACCTCAATAAATTTAAAAAGATACAAATAATACAAAGCATCATTCTCCAACTAAAATGGAATGAAATCACGAATCAAAAGCTGGAAAAATTGTGGAAACTCACAAATTTGTGGAAATTAAATTAGGTCTCTAAGTGTTCCTCTCTTCAAAATTCTTCATGTTAAACAAATGTATAAGTGCTTATTTTATGTTTGTCTCTCCTACTCCCACTCTGAGTGAGCTCTTTGAAGGAAAGGACTATATCTATTTTGATTATCACCATACCTCTAACACAATGTCTGACGTATGAAGCAGGAATGCAATATGTATTTGTGCAACACATGACTGAAGGTTGAATAAATGACTTATGTGAAGAATGGAGACATTTCACAAACATGTACTGAGCACTTACTATGTGCTAGACCATGGGTATATAACAGCAAAGACGACAAAAATTTCTGCCTCATGAAGTTTACCTTCTAGTGGGTAAGAGAGACAATAAACAAATGAATACATACTATAATATCAGTTAAGTTTGTGGTCCCCAGCACCCAAGATGCAAACCAGTACCAGTGCCTGGCCTGTTAGGAACTGGTGGTACAGCAGGAGGTGAGTGGTAGGCCAGTGAGCAAAAACTTCATCTGTATTTACCACTGCTCCCCGTTGCTTGCACCACCGCCTGAGCCTGAGCTCTGCTTCCTGTTAGGTAAGTGCAGCATTAGATTGATATGGAGCAGGGCACCTAATATAAACTGCACGTCTGAAAGATATACATTGCCCACTTCTTATGAGAATCTAATGTCTGATAATTTGAGGTGGAGATGTAATGGGCTTGAATCCTTCTGAAACTAGTGCTCCCCAATCCTCCCCCAGTAAAAATTATCTTCCCTGAAACCAGTCTCTGGTGCCAAAAAGGATGGGGACCATTGAGTTATGTGTTATCAAGAAAAAAGAACCTGAAGCTGTTATTTTTGATTGTGTAGTTGGGTATGTCTCATTGAGATCACATATGAGAGGACACTTGAACAAAGAGAGGATGAGTCACAAGATACGGTCCTCTCCAGGTATACACAGGATTGATTCTAGGTCCCTCCTCCCTCTCATATGCCAAAATCTGCACACACTATGACCCTAGTTGGGTCTGCAGGAATTAGTCCTTTGTATGTAGATTTCATGTCCCTCAAATACTGTATTTGTGTACAGTATTTTTGATCTGCATTTGGTTCAAACAAATTCTCCTGTAAGTGAACCCAAGCAGTTCGGACTAGTGTTGTTCAAGGGTCAAATGTATGCACAAAGTGTGGACTCATTAAAGGCTTACCAAGTGACCACAACAATGGGGAAAACTTAATTCTGTAAGGTTGTGAATCAATAATTACCCATTATTTCTAAAATTTTGAAAAAGGGAGAAGGAGGGGCAGCGCCTGTGGCTCAAAGGAGGAGGGCGCCGGCCCCATATACCAGAGGTGGCGGGTTCAAACCCAGCCCCAGCCAAAAACTGCAAAAAAAAAAAAAAGAAAGAAAAAGGGAGAAGGATATACAAATCAACCAGATCAGAACGTCATCTCAAAAACCACCTGGCCCAGATAAATTTGTGTGTACTGAGAAATATTAGGTAAAAATCAAGAACATACTGTACTCTGATTTAAAACAATTTGTCTCACACTAACCCAGAAAATGTTACCTTTACAACTTGGTCTGAGACATAAACTGAAAACTCTAAACAAAGACTTGCTGGGTGGCATCTAATATCATTCTCATACGTTTTCCAGTAACAGGAATTAGGTAGTATAACACATGGTTAGATTCCCACTATTCTATTCCATCTAACCTGGGAAGATTCCAGCTATCTTTCTTCACTGTGTACATAGGGACCTAAGTTTGGCTTTGAGAGTATCCTTTGTTTCAGACCCAAGGCCCTAAAAGCTGACTACACACCCCTCTCCTCCCAGGCAAATCTCTGACTGCCTAAAATATATCCAGCTCCACCCAGATAGCCAGACCTCCCGCCTTCTACTAACACACATCGTCCCGAACCCTCTCCCCCAAAAGCCACTCAATTCAAGATGGAGACGGAGACAGGAAACTGATCCTGGGCCCCTTCAAGCCCAACCCCTTACTCAGCTCCGAGCCTGAATTCCGCTTCTCTGCCTCCAGACCGAACGTGGACAACCTTAGCTGCAGAGCTCTGCCAGACCTGGTCCCGGGGCCTGGGATCCTGCTGGTCCAGATTCACCCGCCCCAGGCAGACAGGCTGGGACACACTGGGCCGTGATGTTTCTGTATCCTGAACACTCTCGGGGCAGGGAGGTGGCAGACGGGCCGCATACGGATAACCAGGGCGACGCGCAGACCATGCAACACTGACACACAGCCCTTAGCCGCGAAAGTAGGAGCTGTACCTGGCTTGCGGCGTCCGTTCCTGGAAAGGATGATCGGAGGCGATGCTCAAGGGCCAGAGGTCCCAAAAGGGCTCGGCCACCCTCAGGAATCTCACTTGGAGCGGAGCAGCTCGGCTGTGGCCCAGCAGCTGCTGCCCAGCCCGGCGCCCTCTGATTGGCTCAGCCTCGGCCCTTCTCGGTTCCCTTCCGGGTGAGAGGTGCATGGTCGCCCCAGCAACCGAGCCGCGTTTGGTGCTGTGCTGCGCCTTGTTCTCTCCAGGCCGCAGAGCTGGCGGCCCAGGAGGAATCGCAGAGTCAAGACAATCTCTCTAACACCTCTCGATCAGGTGAGTGCCCTCCTCCCAGGTCGCCGGCGGGGAAGGGCATCTTTATGTGGAACTAGCGCCGAGTCAGAACTTGACCCCGGTAACTCGCGTGCGGTGTGGCGAATTTCTTGACTGTGTACGCTGGGAGGTGGGGCGGGGGTGCGGAGCGCCCTTGGGCTGGGAATGAAGAGACTTTTATTCTCGTTTTTATTCTGTGGTCAATTCGCTTGTTGTGACACGTTAGGCATATGCCCGCCTTTCCAGGGTTCATTTTTCGCTATGGTGCCAGGTTCTCTCTAGCTCAGAAATTCCAAAGTTTCGAATGTAGAACCTTCCAAGAGTAATTGAAAACAGTTCGGTTTCTCGTATGATTACGTTTAGTGCCCTGCTTCATAGACATTTAATGATCGCTTCTCAAGTGCCCTCCATTCACTAATCATTCAGGTCCTATTAGTACTAAACATCGAGTTAGATAGTAGATTGAGAAACGAGATTTGACTCATCTGCCATTCTTGCCCTGGAAGGGCTGCGTGTGACAGGGTATCTGGACCCAAAAGCATCATTTTTCTAGAGCCCTAAATACTGCAGCAGAAATAGATGCAGAGTGCTGCGGGAGCCCCTAAAGGAGTCTGGGGGTGGCGAAAAACAAGAATAAAGGCTTGCAGAAGAGCCAATACCTGCGTTGAGGCTACAAGAAAACAATAGCTAATACACACAGTTTAGACACTGGCCTAAGTGTTTTACATACATGAGCTTATTTACTTAATTTTGTCAGCCCTCTAAGGGTGAGGAAACGGAAGCATAGATAATTAAGCAACTTGTCCAAGGCCAAAGAAGATGGTGGAGACTGCATTCATTCCTACATAGGTAGTCTGATGCCAGAGCACGAACTCCTAAATACTACATTCTTATTTTGCCAGTTCTTAAGGATAGATGGCAGTTAACCAGGCGAAGAAGAAAAGAGTGTTCTGGGAGAGAGTACAGCATGGTGCCTGTGGGGAACTAGAAGTCAATTTGGTAACCTAGTTAGTATCATTAAACATTTAAAAAGCACTCTGTGTCTCTGTTGCCTTAGAATGTCAAATCTTGCAGACATGTATATAACTAATACATGAACATATACAGCAATTTCTCCGTTCCTCCACACTTCACTCTTTTTCCACAACCAAATCTTAGAAATTGTAGAAAAAAATTAACAAACATACTGAAATGTATACAGAGGGCACCAAAAAATACATACACATTTTAAGAAAGGAAAGAACTGTATTAAAATTGTAATACTCAATATATACCAATAATAAAAGATGAATACAAGTCATGTTGACTTCTGCGATTACAAGAGGTGCTCACAGTGGCTACTATCAGGGTCCAGACACTTCGTCTTCTTGGAGAAGTGGAAGGAGTTTCTTCCACAAACTCCTTCTTAAACAACGTTGACCAAAGTGCCCACTTGTATCGCTGTGCATGCCATTTCAGTTTGTTCCCTGAGTACCGCCAGTGTAGACGGTGTTCTGTGGTTCACCACATCCTTTAAGGTCCCTGATAGATAGAAGTCAAGGGGTGTTAAGTCAGGAGGACATAGGGGAGACTCACCTGCACCTCTTTATGCTGTCCACTGTCTGGGCAAATTCTTACTGAGGTTAAGCTCTCATGTCTGTGTTCGTGTAATAATCTTGGGATGAGAACTTTCCATTTTGCTGTTTTAAGAACATGTCTTATGCTTGTTCTGCTGACTCCTGTCTCATATGCACATTGTTTGGTAGACTTCTGTATGAGCGTGTAAACTGTTCCAAGAAGAAGCAGGACTTGCTATGTGAGGCCTCCTGATCTTCCCTTGTGCACATCACACACAGCACCATGTGTCTCAAACTTATGAATAGTATAGTTGTTAGGCGTGTGGGAGGTTCTGTTGCATACTCACAACTCCATTGTTGTTGTACTTCCAAAGCATTCTTAAATTTCAAACACCACTTCAAACTGATCTTGTACTCCCCAAAGGACAGCTGTGCGTCCTCCCTTTTCTTTGACTGCCCTGCCTGTAGTATGGTGACGCCAGCATTTGATTCATGCTATCTTTTGTGTGAATCTCATGCTACACTTTGCTAATTCAAAGTTAATTCAAATTAATTCAATTCAACTTTGAAGAGTAGTATGTAGATAACATCTTTTAGAATGTATATACATTTTTCTGCACCCCGGTATATATTTTTATGATCTAGTGTTAGTGTCTATATTTAATCTCAATACAAGAACCAAATGCTAGTAAGATTACTGTCTACCTTTTGCTGCCACTTCCATATTGATCCTACCTGAATTTCAGTTACAGATTCTATTTTTTAAATTACTATTTTTTTTTTTTTTTTGAGAGAGAGAGAGAGGGTATCACTTTGTTGCCCTGGCTAGCCTGCAGTGGCATCATAGCTCACTGCAACCTGTAACCCCTGAGCCTCCTGCCTCAGCCTCCCAAGTAACTGAGACTACAGGTGCATGCTACCACACCTGGCCATATTTTCTCACTTTTGCTCTGGCTGGTCTTGAACTTCTGGCCTCAATCAATCCTCCTACCTCAGCCTTCCGCTTTCTGCTAGCGTTTAAGGCGTTTAGCCATTGCAGTTGGCCTTAAAACTTATTCTTTTTATTTTCTCCCTCACAGCTGGGATGATAAAACTTAATCTTAATAACAATATCAAACAATATAAAAAATAAAAATACTTTACTTTCATTTTCCTCTTCCTATTTTCTCCTGACGTTATTTTTTGCTCCGCGTTAGGGTACATTTTCTTGTATTCCTTTCAGAGATGAAATGTGAGTACTAAACTCTGAATTCTGCCATGTCCAAAAATCTTTAGTTTCCACGATTTTAGATTGATAGCTTAGTTATGGATAGAATATTAGGTTCAAAGTAAATTTCCTTCAAAATTTTAAAGACATGCCATTTTTTTTTTGTAGTATCCAGTATTAATGCTGGTCTGATTCTTCTTACTTTGTAGTTTGTTGTAGGCATTCTGGGTTTTGTTTGCTTGTTTTTAACTAACCTGCCTGGCCTTTGTCTGTTGTCGTGAAATTTTACTACAACCTGTCTAGGAGTGGGATTTTGCTTAGTACTCATTTATAGTATAAGCACTCATTTTATGCAGTTCTGAGAAACTTTTGGCTATTAAAGTATTGTGTCCTCTCCTTAATCTTTCCCTTTGGTATTATGAAATTGACATTTTTAATCTACTTTCAATTGTTTTTTTTTTTTTTTTTTTTTTTTT